ATGTAAACAAACTTGTTTGTCTTGGCGATTGGCTGAACAAGAAGTTGGATTGAGTGGACTTGTAGGCTCTGACGGTTTACATTGATTTTTTTTTTTTTACATAACTGCACTCAAAAACAATCTACATTGTAAGTTGCACTTTCACGACAGATTGCACTACAGTACTTGTATGAGGTGAACTGAAAAATACTAATTTTTTTTCATTTTTACAGTGCAAATATTTGTAATAAAAATAATATATAATTATTTCAATTACAACACAGAACACAATATATATGAAAATGTAGAAAAACCATCCAAAATATTTAATAAATTTCAATTGGTATTCTATTGTTTAACAGTGTGATTAATCACGATTAATTTTTTTGAGTTAATCACATGAGTTAACTGCAATTAATTGACAGCCCTACTACAAATCTTTTAGTTCGCACCCTCAGAGTCCACACAGGGGAGTTACAGCACAGCACTTGGGTACACAGTGCTATTTACACTTCCATGGTCCAAATTGTGGGGCAGTGTGGACACAGAGGCTGTATTTCCAGTTAGTGTTTTTTTAAAAACTTTTGATTAGTCCCAAACTGGATTTGGAGTGGGAATGCCCCTGATTTGCAGAGTTCTGAGGACAGTGGGAAGAGATACTGAACTCCCGGGATAATAGGTGCCGACTCTGTGGGTGCTCCGGGGCTGGTGCACCCACGGGAAAAAAATAGTGGGTACTCTGCACTCACTGGCAGCCAAGCTCCCCATGCCCCCCGCTCCATCTATACTTCCTCCTCCTCCCCCCGAGTGCACCGCATCCCCGCTCCTCTGCCTACCTCCCAGCGCTTCCCGCCCAGCCGCTGCCAAACAGCTGTTTGGCAGCGTTAGCACGCTCTGGGAGGGAGGGGGAGGAGCAGGAATGTGGCATGCTCAGGGGAGGAGGTGGGGAAGAGGCGGGGCCGGGGCAGGGATTTGGGGAAGGAGTTGGAATAGGGACAGGGAGGGGGTGGAGACTTTGGAGAAAGGGTTGGAATGGGGGGTGGGGCCTCATGGAAGGGGTGGAGTGGGGGCGGGGGGCAGAGGGGAGGTCAAGCACCCACAGGAAAAAGGGGAAGTTGGTGCTTATGCCCGGGATGCATCTCTCAAAGGCTGTTAGCAGATGCAAAGTTGACCAATTCTACAACATTTAAAAAAAACAAGCACAAATAACCAACTTGCAGCCTTTCTATTTTGTACATTATGAGCCAAGGATACTCTGACAAAAGTATTTCCCCAGAGATGACCAACATGTAAATAAAACAAATCAGTACTAAACTGGTGGGAAGGAACAGGTTGTACATATTGGACATTTCCTTGCATAAGACTTTTTGGACAGGAAGGCTGAAATCAAAGAAAAGAAGAAATCTGAAATTGTTTTGTGCTGTTTCTCTGAAGAAGAGACAACTGAACTTCACACACGAGGTGTGTGTCCAGCAATAAAAGGCAAAATCGTTAGCCTCCAAGTGACAACCAGCTATGTTCCGGAATTAAAACAACAACAACAACAACCCAAACAAACATTCTCAGTAGCTTCCTGGAATAAAAAGATATTTTTGGTTATCTAATTTCTCTTCTATTTCTCATGTCCACAAGTTCTACAGTGTTGTACAGGGAGAGAAGGAGAATTGTCATTTCAAATCTGAATTAGGCCCTATCTACTAAAGGAATGACAAAGCAGAGAATTTCTATGCCCATCAGAGAATAATTCTAGATTACTAGCCCTTTAACACACACTCTGTATAAATTATTATACTTATAGAAATATTCCACTTTACTCATTCTATCAGGGGATGGGCTGTGATCTTGCTTGGGGCTTCTGAAAGCTACAACACATCCACCACCACAGAAGAGGAAAATTGCACTGCAGAATACATAGGAAATACGTTAGATGCCTATTTATATAAGAGTGTGTATGGGTATCTAACACACACGCACACACACACACACAAATGCAGTATTAGAACTCCAATCAACTGATTGGATAGGACTGACATATCAGAAGTAGGAGAAGATAGAGAAATTTTGATGGAATTTACCATATTTCTCCTGCACTCATACATAGTTCAATACTAAAGTGGAATATACACAGAAATATGACGATCCTAGGGTAGGAATGTAATTAAGTATAACTATATACATCTCATTTTTTTTCATTTGAGAAGAATTTTTTTAAATAATCATGAAGTCATTAAATTGCAGCACTCTTTCATCAGCTGAGACTTCCAAGTCATTCTTCTAGAGCTTTGACAATGTATGTATAGAGGAATCAGGCAACTGCTTTCCAGATCTAACTGTTCAACTGAATATGGATTATTAACCAATTTTGCTTTCCTGTATACCCAAACAAACAGTTTATCATTCCAATAAACCTAGATATTTAAATCAATTCTCAGCAGGGTGGATAAAAATCAATGATTTTTTTTTAAAGTGTCACAAAAATCTTCTGTATAGAAAGATTAACCTAAATAATCTATTTACCCAATTGGACTCAGTGCTCAGTCATACCATGAAAGATGCTTAGTTTTGCAGTTCTCAATCTGTGGATTTGTGTCTCCAGAGATAACATGCTTGTTAACAGCAAAAATGTTTTAAAATAAATAAATAATATATAGAGGTGAGAAATAACAGACCTAAACCCTATTGTCCTTCTGCAAATTTGTGTACACAGAGTCAATCCCTTACCTCTCTCTAAAAGTGCAAAGTTTCAAAAAGTTCAGTGAATAGAAGATCGTTGGGGGCGGAACAGACCTGGACAAGGAGAAGAAGTCTTGAGATAAATGTGAGAAGGGAGGGTCAGGCAGTAGAAACAAAAGCGAAACTGTTTGAGCAGCACATTCCAGAAGTCTTGAGGTCTTTCTGAGTATAGCCTTCATTGATTTGAGAGCTACCATACCATTCTCTCATTAGAAGGGAAAACCTATAATGGCAGCAGGCCATAAAAGAGACCCAGTTGGGGAATATTTTAATGAAGTTCCTCTACCTGTGGGTAAGACAGGCATGTGTGCAAAATGCAAACAGTGCAACAAAGAAACGCAAGGCCTCGTTGCCCGAATGAAACAACATCATGAGAAGTGTTCCTTCTCAGGAGGAAGCTGTGTTGAAGATGATGAAAGGAACATGCAGGATCTTCAGGTTGGTAAACTTTTTTATTTCATACTTCTTTCTTAAGGACTGCCTGTCTTCCTTCTGGACTATTCTTGAATGCTCATGTTTGAGCAAAAATATCGTTGTTACTCTATGGTATGTTTTGTTAAAAATATTATATGTCTGCTGTTGAAGAAAAAAATCCAGAATACATAATATTGTTGTTTTAGTTAAATAAAACAATTTAAATGTCTGTCTGGTGATGTTCTCCTCCTAATACAGCACAGCAAGAAAATCCTCCAAATATTAATGATTAACCTGTTGAATTGGAGATAGTTCACCTCCCAATGACTTCATAAATATCTGCTTCAATTACCTTTGGTAAATGAAATAACCAAACATTCATTCATTTTCTAATATAGCTGTAAAACTAATCTGAAAAGTTTTCAGAATAAATCACTTTAAAAATGTATAGTGTGTACCTTCTAAAAATGAAACCTACATCTATCTCTGAGTTGTGAAGAATATGTATTAAGGTTATAACAACCAACAAGAATGCACTTTTATGTAGAAATCCATGATTAAATTGAGTCTTCCTGACTAGTGATTTAAATCAAATCCACTGACTCTCAGCTTCAGATAGAGCTCTATCCTTTTGGTCTAGCCAAGTTGCCTGTGGCACAGGACCCAGGACGAGGTAGGTGGTTGTAAAGCCACCTTTCTATTGCCACAGTCCTCGGTTCTAAAAGACAGGTAAGTCAATCCCTCCTGAAGGCAGCTATAGCTCTTCCTGACATGTAACTATTTCTTCTTCCTGGTAAGTCTCCTGTAGCTTATGGTCTAAATCAGGGGTAAGCAACCCGTGGCACGCAAGCTGATTTTCAGTGGCACTCACACTGCCCAGGTCCTGGCCACTCGTCTGGGGGGCTCTGCATTTTAATTTAATTTTAAATGAAGCTTCTTAAACATTTTAAAAACCTTATTTACTTTACATACAACAATAGTTTAGTTATATATTACAGACTTATAGAAAGAGACCTTCTAAAAACGTAAATGTATTACTGGCACGCGAAACCTTAAATTAGAGTGACTAAATGAAGACTCGGCACACCACTTCTGAAAGGCTGCCAACCCCTGGTCTAAATCATTCCTGTGGGCAAAATGTATACCATCTGATGATGAAACTCCTATTGGAGCACACTTTGTACTCAATTCAAAAGAGAAGACGAAATGGGGAAAAGTATAAAACCGATATAGGGAAAAGATCAAAAATAAGAGATGCATTGTTATAACCTGCATTCATGTGAAGGAACTAAAGCAGAAAAATGGCCCTGGAAGTGTGAAGTTGAAGATTTCCTTACTGCTGTGCTTCTGGTTTATCACGAGCAACAGTGATACCACCCTAAAGTTATAGACTGGTGAACTGAGAATACAGGAAAGAAGATGCACTTGGCCCACAGGCAGCAAGTACGTAGGCCAAGGGTCAGCAACGTTTGGCACGCGGCTCGCCAGGGTAAGCACCCTGGTGGGCCGGGCCAGTTTATTTACCTGCTGATGCAGGTTCGGCCGATCGCAGCCCCCACTGGCTGCGGTTCGCCGTCCCGGGCCAATGGGGGTGGCAGGAAGCGGCGCAGGCGAGGGATGTGCTGGCCGCAGCTTCCCGCCGCCCCCATTGGCCCGGGACGGCGAACCGCGGCCAGTGGGGGCCGCAATCGGCCGAACCTGCCGCGTCAGCAAGTAAATAAACTAGCCCAGCCCGCCAGGGTGCTTACCCTGGCGAGCCGCGTGCCAAATGTTGCCGACCCCTGACGTAGGCTATTTACACACAGAACAAATTTAAAGTAACCTTCTCTGGTTTCAATTCTTAAGAACTAATTAAAAATAATTATTAAACTTACCTAAATGTAGCAGTGTAAACTGGGCTGCCAATTCCTTTGCATCTTCTAATGTTGTGCAGAGTTTGTCTGGCATAAAATAACTCTGGGATCCATTTGCAATAGTAGGAATAACTATTTTATATACCAAGAGAACTTTTCCATCCTGACTTGTTGTTGAATATAAATAATATTCTGGTGGTGCCCAGTTATTTTTGTTGCAGTAATAATCCAAATGCATTACTGCAGAACTGAAATGATTGGATTTTAAAGAATACATGCTAATTGGAGTAAGCTTTGTCCCTGGAAAAAATGGGTAAGTACACCTTTCAATTTCAGGGGGGCTTGGACTGTGCTGACCATTAAGACGAATTGAAAGATTTGCTGGTTTTCCTAATGATTTTTGATGACCATCTTCCTTGTTAGCAAAAACTAGAATATTTTCAGAATTGGGACTAATTTGACCATTAAGATGCTGTCTCCAAGTGCTTTCTTTGTTTACAGGTTTTGCCAGTGTTACCTCAATACTAGCACCATCAATGCATTTTCCATTCATAATTGACATAGCTGCAACTGCATCCTCTCGGTTGAAAAAATGAACAAAAGCATAGTCTCTCAGTTTCTTTACACGTTCAACTGCTCCTGGCTTAAATTTGTTAAATTCAGCCTTAATTGCATCCTCTGTAGTAGAGATCATTAAGTTTCTTACATACAACACTTTAACCCTCTGCATTGTTTCTTCATCAACTTCTTTCTCTGGGTCTGCCCAGTCTACTTGAATAGTATGTCCCCATAGCTGGAACGTTCCTAGGACAAAGTAGTATTAAATTTAAGTAAAATGCATAATACTGAAAAAAGAAAGCTAAGTGATAAATAATATTCATTAACCATTCCAGGAACCAAAACACTGGAATAAGCCTATGTTATTTATAATACTAAATTTGAAACAAGCCACGATGAAATGTTTTATTTGCATTCACTTCGCTAAACAAACATTGCTTGAAAGTATAGAGGTCAATAAGAAAAATAAAACTTTGCAAAAAATTCTTCAGCAATGTTCATCTGTTTAAAAAGTACTCAGTCTGCTTTTGCTTAAACCACAACCAGTGCCAGTTTTGCTAAAGATCATTGCTTTTGTGAAATCTATGTGGTTTCAAGTAGTCAAAAATTTTGCCAGTTGATGATGCAATGTATTTTTAAAATAGTCATACTTGGGGGGAGGGGACGACAGGGAAACAAAATACAAAATAATGTGTGTCCATGTTAGAATGAGCCCTGTTAATTTATTGCCCCAATATGCATTAAAACAAATTCACTGAAGATCATAAAGCATGTTATGTTTCTAAAAAGTTCAAATTTGAGTGCCATGCCATTTTTCCCCTTACATTTGTTGAGTTGGCCTTATTATTTCTCCTGTTACTTTTCAAGGCTTAGATAAGCTTCTTTAAAGTCAATGCTTCTTGTCTGTGACCAACATAAGACTTTGGGTGAAGTCAATAGGAGTTCTGTCAATCATTTCAATAGGACCAGGATTTCACACATTTTCTTTGCCTTTCTTTCGTTTCTCCAACTCTGCTTCCCCTGATCTCTTCACTCCTTTTCCTTCCAACTCTCTCCCTTGCTACTGAACCTTTTGCTCTCTCTCTCCCCCTTTCCCAATTCCAGTATCTTCATCCCTCAATTTAAAAAAATCCCTGTCCAGGATAGAACTAAGCGTGTGTCAAGTCCCACTGAAATCAACTGAGTAAGATAAAGGTGGTGTAAGCACAGATCTATTTTAAATGCTTTGATTTATAAATTGCACATTTAATATTAAAATTAAAGGCTTACCTGGAATTAGTTTTCTTCTAGCCATAGCAGCAGCTCTGTGAGACTCATATTCTACAAAGGCAAAGCCACGGTTTTTAGTTTTATCAGTAGCACTTGGATAAACAATAACATCAACCACTCCTTCTGTAACTTTCTTCATTTCATCCAAGATTTCTTCTTTCTTTTTCTCTTTTGGAATAGCTCCAATAAATAATCTGCAGTTGTCTAAGCTTACACAGACACCAATAAATTTTCCTGGACGAATTTCATAATTATTAAGGATCCTGATGGCCAGCTGGGCTTCTTCTTTAGTTGTGTACATCACAAAGGCATATCCTCGATTCTCGCCACTAAATTCCATCATCAATCTGAATTCATAAATCTTCCCAGCTCTCTCAAAAACAGGAACTAATTCATCTTCATACATATCACGAGGAATCTTTCCCACAAAAACTTCACAGCCACGAGGTGGGGGAGGACCTTCCCAACCTTAAAAAAATTGTCCAGCAACCAGTAAGTATGAATGCCATAACCACAACTTTCTCAAACAATATTTTTTCAGAATTTGTAAGCACATTTCTGATGTATTAATAATACTGTACAGTATGTTACAAAGGTTATTATCGTATTGATTTATGTCATCTTTTCTTGATTCCCTACAGCTCTGAAAACAAGACAACCCCATTCAACATTTTCGGTTTGTTTGTTTTTTAAGAACTTTTACTAAGTTCAATAAAGCAATTAGAGGAAATACATTTTACACAAATAATTTTCAAAGGTAAATCCCTAATGCTTTGTCCAAAAAAAGTCAGTTACATTCTACTGTAAGGGAGATGTGTCAAATTTCCAAACTACACATATCTCTGCATAAAATTAATCCAAATCCTTCCCAGACTACAACTGAGATATAGTTATGGCAAAGGTTTCCAGATACATACTGCTTAAACATACAGAACGTATTCATCCAAAAGCTAGCTCTTTTCCTGGTGCTGTGTTTATGAATTGCAAGAGTGTCATACTTCATGAAATGACAACTTCAGCTTCTCTTACCTGGCTTTATAAATAACATCAAATTGATATTAACATTATCTAGAGCACTTTTATGAATGAATGTGACCTGTCAATGACTTATACTATAAATACCCGATTGACTCTTGGGGAGGGGGGGATTGTGAGGGGGGACCTTGTAGGGTGGGGAGGAGCCTGTGGCACCAGCTACCAAGGGGAAGAGCGCCGGGGGGGCACCTGCTGCCACTTCTGCCATGGCTGCGGGGGAGCCCCGTGGGGCCAGTAGCTGACCCGGCCGCCCTGGGATCACTGCCGGGAGTTGCTCAGCTGTGGCTGCTCCCACTGCCCCCAGGACTGCTGCTCAGGCGGTCCTCGGGGCCGGCCACATCGGTCACTGCTCAGGCAGTCCCTGGGGCCAGCTGCCTGGGGCCGCTAGAGCAACAGCTGGCTGCGGGGCCATCCAAGTGGCTGGCTTCAGAGCCGCTCCAGCAGTGGCCGGTGTGGCTGACCCCAGGGCCACCTGGGGAACAGCCACATCAGCTGCTCCAGAAGTTACGGTGCAGAAGTTACAGTGGTTGCAGGAACTGACTTCCGCAACCTCCGTGACAAACATGGAGCCTTAATCATAATTAAATCACTTGTGCACGTTCACACAACACTCCTTGTGTCGGTGGAGTGCGTCCGCAGTTGGTACTCTGGCACTGACAGAGAGCAGTGCACCATGGGTAGTTATCCCACTGTGCAAATCACTTTCTCCTGCTAGGAGTTCTGGATTAGTAGTGGATTACAGTGCATCATGATGCAAGATCACTGCCCCCCATGATGCAGTTTTCTCTATCCCATAATTCCAAGGGCTTCCAACTGCATTTCATGCTGTTTTTCAACTGCCCCTGTAAGCTTTGCCCTCATTGCTGTGCTAGGGCCAGTCTTGTGAGAAGTGTTATGAATAAACAGAAATTCATGCTGCCTGCCCTGCTGTGTGCTATGGAAAGAAACAATTCAAGACTGATATTGGCATTCATGGAGCAGCTGCACTTGGTGGACCATTGCAATTGGGCTTGAGAAACAAGCAACGAGTGGTGGGATCAAATTGTGATGCAGGTATACAATGACACGCAGTGGCTACAGAACTTTTGTACGCTCAAAGCCATCTCCTTTGAAGTGTGTGCAGAGCTTGCCCCTGCCCTGCAGCGCAAAGACACCAAAATGAGAGCTGCCCTAATGGGGGAAGAGCAAATAGCAATCGCTGTGTGGAAGCTGGCAATTCCAGACTGCTACCACCCAATCGCGAATCAGTTTGGACTTGGGAAGGCCACCATAGGGGTTGTGGTGATGCAAGCGTGCAAGGCCATTAACGGCCTCCTGCTACGAAGAACTGTGACTCTGGGCAATGTGCAGGAAATATCAGATGGCTTTATGGCAATGGGGATACCTAACTTCGGCAGGGCAATTGATAGCACGTGTATCCCAATTTTGGCTCCAGACCATCTTGTGATGGAGTACATCAACAGAAAGGGCTACTTCTCTATGGTATTGCAGGCACTGGTAAATCGCTGGTGTTGTTTCACTAACATCAACACGGGCTGCTTAGGAAAGATGCATGATTCTGGCCTGTATAGAAAGCTGCATGCAGGAACTTTCTTTCCAGACCAGAAGGTTCCAATAGGGGATGTGGAAATGCACACAATGATCCTGAGAAACTCAACTTACCCCTTACGCCTGTAGTAGGGTTACCATATTCAAACATTTAAAAAAAGAGGACACTCCACGGGGCCCCGGTCCCGCCCCCGGCCCTGCCCCAACTCCACCCCTTCCCCGCCCCAACCCCACCCCTTCTCCGCCCCCATTCCAACCCCTTCCCCAAAGTCCCTGCCCCAACTCTGCCCCCTCCTCTGAGCACCCCGCATTCCCCCTCCTCCCTCCCGCTCTGATCTTGGTTGGGGGTTGCTAAGTGCTTCCCTGCTCCCCACTCGCCCCGCAGCCCCTATGCCCTTGCCTACCCTGCTCCTCCTCACCCTGCAGCCTCTGCACCCCCCCGCCCCGTGCCCCTTGCTCCCCACTCGCCCTGCAGCCTCTGCGCCCCCTGCCGGCCCTGCCCCTGCAGCCTCTGCGCCCCCTGCTCCCCAGAGACTTCAGAGACTGAAGCAGCACATCATTTTGCCAAATGCAGTTAGGCTATGTTGTCCTCTGCATTTTTTGTCATTTGACATACTGCTGATGCTGTTTTGGAGAATGGTGTATTTCCAGCATGGTCAGAGTCGGTATTTTTTTTTCAGAAGTTAGCAAAATTTGTATGTGCTACACCAGTGCCTCAAAAACTGTGACCCATGGCTCCCTTGGAGAATCATGAGGGGTTCATGGGAGAGCCACGAGCGTATGAGAATTTTTTTTTTTAAGCAGATATGCCCATTTTGAGTTTTCCCCTAATTAAGAGACTATTAAACTAAGCTTAGAAATCACTGGGGTCTTGTCCTGCTGCTGCTGATACTGTGACTGGAAGCATCTCCATGCCCTCTTCTCCTGCAGGGGGCCCTCAGCAAAGAGACTTCCTGCTGGGGGAAATATTCATCAGAAATCTCTGCTGAAGGCCCCTGCTGAAGCAAAGGGCAGAGAAAGGCTCCCAGTGTAAGCAGCACCACTGCATTAGCGGGTAGGGGGCTGAGGCAGAGACAGGTGAGTTTTATTTTTATAATGGAACAATTTTTACCAAGTGCTAAGCGTACATGTAAACAAACATTCACCTAAAGACGATTTTAATAAAGTTAAACAAAAAAGGAGGGAAATACACAATATGGTGATAGTTACATTATGTTTGGGTTTTCAGGTCTGGATACTACTTTGGAAAGTCCACAGCCACAATGTATCATTTGTTTTCGAGCATTAGTAAATGAAAGTACAAGGCCATGGAAACTACAGCAACATTTAGAAAGCAAACACCTAGAATTTGTAAATAAGAGCTGTGACTTTTTCCTTCGGAAACAAGGAGAACTAAGGAGGCAAAAGAGTAATGTCTAAATAAGCAATTGTTCCTCAAAAAGCCTTAGAAGCATCTTATGTTGTAACCTTGCAAACTGAAAAACATAAACAAGACCTTTCTACCAGCAATAGACATGCATAGAATTATGATTGGGAGACAAGAAACCATAACACTGAAAAACATTCCTATGTTAAATACCACAGTCCGTCAACATGCTGATGGATCTTGCAGAAAACATCCAGGATCAGCAGACAGAACAAGTTAAGAACAAAATCCTCAATAAATTCATAGTGGATGAAAGTTTTGAATGGACTGTGTGGGGGGCTGTGCACTGATGGGGCAGCAGCCATGACGAGATAGAAGAGCAGGCTTGCAGAATGAGTAAAGTGGCACCAGCAACAATTTGGACTCACTACATGATTCACCTCCAAGCTTTGACATTTAAGAAGCTGCAATGTGAAGTATGTGAGGCCCTCAACAGTTACCAAATTTGTTAATTCCAGGCAGCAAACACACATTTTATTATGCTGTGCAAACAGATGGGCTCTGACCACACTCCACTTGTTTCACAGAGAAGTCACGTGGGGAAGTGTTACAACATGTCTTTGAACTGAGTGACAAAAAAATTTTCCTTCTTGGGAAAACAGACCTTGCAGATTACATGTGTAATGCTGACTTCTTAACTATATTAGCTTACCTAGTGGAAATATTTGACAGACTGAATGCACTGAACCTAATACTTCAAGGAGGAAAGCAAATATACTAGATATGAAAGGAAACCAGGCAATTCATGAAGCAACTTTGTCTTTGGAAATGCCACACTGAAAAGGGAGTTACCAAGATGTTTCCAGGGTTATCACGCTTTTTAACAGAACAGAGAGTGAAAGTAATCAAAATGCCACTAAAGACCAAATATTGACTCATTTGTCTGAGTTGTATTCCTATTTTGATGAATATTTTCATAGATTTGAACATTAATTTTGTTACTGATTGGATTAAAAACAGATTCTCAGTAACACACGACTCCATACCAACCTTAAGTATCACATTGTCAAGTGATCACATGTAGAAGATCACATATTTCAAATATAACAATCCAGGAATTCCGGATTTCTGTTAATGGACAGCATAAAGAACTCAGTGATGAATCCATGAAAGTGCTGCTCCCAGTTATCTTTGAGTCTAGGTTTTTACCTATGATTTGTGAAAACTAAACACAAATATTTAAATCTGGAAAACACTGTGCAACCATGCAGTTTGAAATAGGATCACTCTTCTCATTAAAATCTTCAGTTGTGTCCAAACATGTCAAAAATTCATAATTTTCAAATTATTGTTTTAAAAATCTGGATTAGATCACATTATATAATTAAACCAACTGAATAGTTAAATAAAGGTCCGAAACCAACCAAACTAGTGGTCCCTCTTGAAGTTAGTGTCCTGAGACAGTAAAAAAATAAAAAAAATAAATGGTATTTAGTTGTGGGGAGCCACCAAATTGTACAATATCTGTAAGGGAGTTGCTGTACTAAGAAGTTTGGGAACAATGGTACTATACACATTGTTTGACAGACTATACTTAACATCTCCAAATTATAAAACATAGCCTTTGTTCTGTTGAATTATGCTTATTGTATTTAAGAATACATCAGGGGTGACGTATTCTACTGAAAAGTGAGTGGGGGGGGGGGCACAAGGCCCCACCCATTCCATGATCCCACCCCTGCCCAACCTCTTCTCCTGAGGCCCTGGCCCCCGGCCAAACCAGAAGCCAGGCTAGGGAGCCCAGACCCCTCCACCTGGCAGGGGTGGGGGCCCCCCCACGAGAGCAGTTCCCAGCCTGTCTCCCCACCCAGGGCAGATGGAAGGTCTGCGGCTCCCCACAGCTGCCCACGCAGCTCTTACCCTGACCCAGTTCCAGCTTCCAGCCTGACCGGGGGTGGGGCTTCCAGGGCCAAAGAGCCACAGCCAAGCCATGGGAAGAGCCTCCCGGGCAGCTGTGGGAAGCCACGGACCCTCCATGTGCCTTGGGCGGGAGGTCCAGGGAACAGGGACACAGACCGGGGGCTGCTCTCGGGCCCCCCCCACCCTGGGCAGGTGGAGGGTCCATGGCTCCCCACAGCTTCCCATGCTCCCCAGGCTATTCTTACTCAGGCCAAGCTCCAGCTTCCGGCCTGGTGGGGGGGGGGGGGGCCCGGGGGCCGGGGGGGGGGGGGAGAGACTGAGAAGGGGACCAGGCCTGTGGTGGAAAGTGGGTGGGCTATGGCCCCTTGACTGCCCCCCTTCCCATCACCCCTGGAATACATTTGTAATTTGGTTTCTGAAACAAGCTTCTAAGGCCTAGATCCACAAAGGAACCTATTGCTCCACTCAGCATTGCCACAACAATAACGTGATTTTAGTCAATTAGGCAATAACGGCCATCATGAGGGTCTGGCTAGAGAATCTTGCCTGTATGCTCGGGGTTCTGCTGATCGCCATATTTGGGGTCGGGAAGGAATTTTCCTCCAGGGTAGATTGGCAGTGGCCCTGGAGGTTTTTCGCCTTCCTCCGCAGCATAGGGCAAGGGTCGCAAGCTGGATGATTCTCTGCAACTTGAAGTCTTTAGATCACGATCTGGAGACTTCAACAGCAGAGTTAAGGGAAAGTGGGGGGGTCAGCTTTTGTGGCCTGCATCATGCGGGAGGTCAGACTAGATGACCATATTGGTCCCTTCTGACCTTAAAGTCTATGAGTGAGAACTGCCATCCAGGAGAATCCTCAACCCAAAGTTAGGCCCCATGGCTCCCTATACAATGCCAGGGAAGAGTTAGGCACCTGTAAAAGATCCACAGATGCCAGCATACTGAGTGGCAAGCCATTAAGATAACAGGAAATGCTGAGGAGAAGGGCATGGCTTAAGTCCTGTTCATCAAAAGCTAATTAGGCAATATCAGTGCTAAGGATTCACAGCTGTGAACCCTCTCCTGGAGTTAGGTGCCTAAGCCAGGTAAGCCATTCCTCACAAAATACCAGAGAAAGAAAAAGTGAGAGCAATACCCCCTCACCCCATTATAGCCAACAGCATAGTGGTTAGGGCACTCACCTGGGAGGTGGGAGACCTGTTTTCAAATCCCCACTCTGTTCAGTTTGGTGCAGGGACTTGAACTTGAGTCTCCCATATCCCAGGAAGTGCTCGAACAGTGGGGGTATGGAATCACCCTGCTCCTGTCTGTCTTTTCTGGTTTCCAGATTGGGCCATGATAAGAGGGAGAACAGCAGCATTAACTCGAGATACAACTCTAATGTTGTTCCTAACCCAAATCCTACGCACACACACAAGTCTCCAACTCAAGTGGTGGTTTAAACTCGAACTAGCTCACCTATTGGGGGGGGGGAGGGGAAGTTGAAGGCCAAGTGCTGCTGATGCTTGAACTAGTAATACTATAGGGTCTTGGGTCCAGATTTTTTAAAGGTATTAGGCATTACTCAGCTCAACATCACAGTGCCTTTAAAAGTAAGTGCCTCAGCTACTCTGCACTGCTAATACATACAGGCTATGCTGCTCGAGTGACGTTTTTGCTGCTCTCACTCAGGCTCAGCTAACTCAACAGGAGTTAACTCATGGGTAGATAACTTGAACTAATACTGCATTGCAGTCAAGCCCAAAGCCACTGAGACTTTCAAAAGTGACCTGCAACTGCTATAGAGCATAAATGCAGTTTCCACTATTGTCTGTAATTTTATCAATAAAATCATTTGTGCTTAATATTCAATTATATTATTCAGCATAAAAACATTTTTTCTTCAAGTCTGAGCAAAATTCATTGAGCTGGTTTTGAATTATCCAAGTAAGAAAAACTGCAGTTTCCCTACTTGTTCCAATCAGAAATTCTTTATTCATATAACTTTAAAAGTGTGAAATAGTTCAAAATTTGGCTGTAAATCTCATGGTGACTTAAAAAAAACAAATAAAATTTGAGGAAAACTCATTCAAAATTAAAATCATATCTGTTTAAAGTTGACCATGTTGTGCATGCACAGCAGAATTTTAAGTGCATTCTTAAGTGAAGAAAGAGTTATTAATAGGACTGTCGATTAATCACAGTTAACTCATAGGATTAACTCAAAAAATTAATTGTGATTAATCGCAGTTTAAATCGTGCTGTTAAGCAATAGAATACCAATTTAAATTTAGAAGTAGGACTGAGTGGACTTGTAGACTCTGAAGTTTTACATTGTTTTATTTTTGAGTGCAGTTATTTTTTGTACATAATTCTACATTTGTAAGTTCAACTTCCATGATAAAGAGATTGCATTACAGTACTTGTATTATGTGAATTGAAAAATACTCTCTTGTTTTTTGCAGTGCAAATATTTGTAATCAAAAATAAATATAAAGTGAGCATTGTACACTTAGTATTCTGTGTTATAACTGAAATCAATATATTTGAAAAAGTGGAAAATAACCACAAATATTTAAATAAATGGTATTCTATTATTTTTTAACCGTGCGATTAATCACGATGATTTTTTTTAATAGCGCAATTAATTTTTTTAATCGCTTGACAGCCCTAGTTATTATTAAGTCCAAACCTCCACAGCCCTGCCCTGCCACCATTCTTAAACTAAACATGGATCCCCCCGCCCACCCTTAGAACAAAAAGAGGAAAATTCTAAAATAAATAACTCCATTAATGATATGTTAAATTGGGAAATGAAGCATTAAATTCAAGAAGTTATACCTTAACTTGTATCTTCTTCCAGGTCACCTTAGTCTCACTGCACATATGTGTTAGTATATAGGCCTGTCTCTTAGCTTGGGATAGAATTTTGGGTTTGATTTTTGATATTTTTATATCCTTACTAATATGTGAACAAAGAACAAACACAGTGTGTGTTGCTTCTGCCTAACCAGATGGCGTTTATAGCACAATGAGAAGAGATAAGGAAGAGAGTTTAAGCGTTGCTGGGTATGGTGGGAGCTTAATATACGAGTGTACACTTGAAGACTGCCTCGACTCCTATCTCAAGGCAAGGTCAAGAAACCAGTCGGGAAGGGCAAGAGGGGATACGGGCAGGGGAGGGGAGGCATAAGAAACACTAAAAATCCAGAGAAAAGGTGACCCTGGCCAATACATAGCCGCACTCCTTACCCCTCCCATGGGGATAAAGGGGGTGGTACCGAAGTCCCCAGACTCGCGACCCTCCAAAACAGAACATGACCATAAATTGTAAGGGATGGGACCAGGGGCATGCACTACAGGTATAATCAAGCCTGCCAAGAAGAAGGAGGTGGGAAAAAAGGGGACATGGAAGGCTCTGTGGCGTACAGAACTATGGATATGCTTGCTTGATTAACCCCAATAAACACTGCATTGCCTGCACTTCAGACTTCAGGACTTCTGCTTTCTGTCTGCATGACAAGAACCAAGGGAGGGGCAAAGGGAAAGCCCTTAACAATATGATGTATTCTCAATTCCCTGTTTTCTTTGCTAAATGTCAATTTCAGTGGTTTAACTGGGAAAAAAGTAAAGGCAGAACTTGGCCTGGTATTTTTATAATTTCAAACAAATGCTCACCTGGTGGAGGACCACCAAATTTTCTTTGTCCATTTTCTTGAACCATGCTGTAGCCAGTCTTTTCCATCAAAGCTAGTAAGGCAGCCTCATTCTGAGTACCAGTTCGGATTTTGCCACATCCATTTGTTACATCTGTACTTTCGTCATGCATATTTGCAATATCTTCAACAAAACATTAAGATAAAATTTCATAATACAGAATTCTAAACTTATCCACATACAATAGCTACTAAAAGCCAGAAAAGTAACAGCATAAGTTATTTCAACTTTACCTCATGAAATTCTTCCCTTGAAGGAGTAAGCTTTTTTGTTCTAAACTATCAAGTTATCATCTATATATTTTCTTGCAAATATGGTCTCATTTATTACAATAAAATTACGCATGAGAATACAGTACACATAAGCATTAATAATCTGTAGGATATAGCCTGAAAGTTCTGTTTTATGTGGTTTACTCGCCAATGGAGTGTCACGTGGTGGCCAAGTGCAGCGCTTTCTGCCACAGTTTCCTCTAATGTCATTAATAAGTTCACCAAGGCTTTATGTAGGGAACAATGCCCCTTCTGAGGGGTCTAGTTTATTAACCTAAAACCCAATGAAAATATAAGTAAGACTTCACCCCAGGATCTTAGAGTCAAGTATCAGTTTATCCATTCCCACCTGGGTCCTCCATTCCCCTCCAGCAGGGTTCTCAGCTCAGTACCTTTCCTGGAGTCAGGACTCCTGCCACTATGGAGAGCCAGAGGTCTGCAGAGAGCTATTCACTGCAGCTCTTCTCTGAGGCAGCATGTAGTTCCTGACAGGCTGAGCTTCCTGCTACTGTTTGGGAGTTTCCTATCCCTCAGAGAACAGCTTCCAGGCCCTTGCTCCATTTACAAATCCCCACAAATGCATGAAATAAGGACCCTTATCTTTTTAGTAATACCATCCTGGATTGCAAACAGCCTTACTTATATTCTTCATTAAAAGCTGTTAAAAGTGACTTAGTTCACAACTAGGTGGTATTTCAGGGGCCTGGAAACTTGTAAGAGGGCCAGAGGGTGCAATGTAAGAGGCAACAATGAGGCAAGGTCAAACTGGAGTCAGGACAGCCTCTGTTAAACCTCAGGATGCATTTTGCTGCTTCTGAACATTAATTACCACTCACTTTCTTCAAACATAGCCTATTTTGTAGCTCTCAACAAGACTTTTAAAAAAAATTGAAAAAAGTGGGGTTAGTAATTCTATCATCATAAATATTTCAAGTCAGCATGTCATGGTACAACCTTATCTCAGTTTAGAAGGATTTAAACTAGAGTACTTCAGAGTTTCTCCATAATATTTAAAACATGCTCAATTCCAACTGGTCTTTAAAGAAAAGTTCAACTTGAATTTAACAATCAATCAATTTTAAAAACACTCAAATGATTTTTTTAAATTTCTATTAAACTAAGTTTGCTAATTTCACTACTATAATTTTAATGTCAGCAATGTTTAAAATGAGCAAACCAGTTCTGAAGCAGGGACAGACACTGTGCTTGCACAAGTGAACAAACATAAAAAACAAAATGCGTACATGCTTAATATACAATCTTAAAATAGTAACAAACGAAAGTCAAAAGAAAGTCATTTTTTCTATACAAGCAAATGTCCTACTCCTCATACAGAACTATTAGATAGATTAAGTAAATTAGATGAATATTTATTATACCTCAAAATTTTAGGGAAAGCATTTTGTATGAAAAAAATTTCTAGGAACAGTATTTTCTTTAAATAAAAATAAAAAATAATTGAAAGAGAATTACTTCAAAAACCACTAACATTAAGGGCCTGATTTCCAAAGCAGCCTCCACTTGGAAACCTTGTATGTATACATTTTTCAAGCAGCAAAACATTGCATGGGCACATGTTAGGCTAACACCTACACAGACAGGTAAGTTATTTTGCCTTTGTTCATTGAAATTAACATACACATCTGGAAGTATAAGTGTTTGAAAAAAGTATCCATAGAAAGAAGGCTGCTATTTGAAAATAAGAACTTAAATACATATCACACATAAACAGACCAATGAATTAAAATGTCTTTAGTTATTATTTTATTACTATTTATTATTGCTCACCCCACCCTCTCTGCCGTTCCTTTGCATTAAAACGGAGATTAAGTCGGGCATGAGGGAAAAGAAAGTGGAATAATTCTGTCCTGGTAATTCCTGGATAGTGATGATGATAGTGGTGAGCGTGGCACGACTGCAGCTTGCCACAATAGCTGTTAGGGCTGATCTATGCTAAAAATTTACATTGGCATAGCTCTGTCTATAGGGGTCCACACCCCTGACACATTTATGCCAGCCTAACCCCCAGTGTGGACGGTGCCAGGTTTACCAAAGAATTCTTCCATCAATTTAGCAACCCCACCAACTCTCAGGGAGGTAGCTTATTTACAACAAAGGGAGAACCCCACTGTAGAACTGGCAAGTGGCTGCGCTGAGGAGCTTTAGCTGTTTTAAGTGTAGACATAGCCTGGGTTACTTTTACCGTGGTTGGCAGCATGCAGGCCACGCATGCCCAGAAGGAACAGCAGTCACTTAGCAGACCCTGGCTTGGCAGACACACGTCTCACTGCTGATAGGACACCACACGGGACAAATAGATTTTCCTCTGCTTCACCCAGTCCAATCAAGCTGGCAGGAAGGGGGTGGGGATATCTGTGAAAACATCAAGACCTACATGGCAGGGAAGGGGCACGTTATATTTGATGAAGGGGGAAGGGCTGGCTGGCAGGGCACAGGGAGCTGTGGGATTGGGGTGGCTGTACACAGCGCTGGAGGCTGTGAGAAAGGGGCAGGGAAGGCGGACGAAGGCCCGGGTGTGGGGCAGGGGTGGCGTGGGAGTAGGTCCCAGGGTGAGAAGGGTGGCAGGGGAGAGGCTCCCTGGGTCTCTTGGTGCTGCCTTGGAGTCACTGGAGCAACAGTCACAGAGGCGCTTTTCCATCCAGAGCCATAGGTGCCAAGTCTGAGGGTGCTCTGGAGCTGGAGCACCCACGGAAAAAGTATAGTGGGTGCTCAGCACCCACCGGAAGGCCCCGCCAATCAGCTTCTCCCTCCCTCCCACCCACCCACCCACCCACCACTGATCAGTTGTTCAGCGGCGGGCAGGAGACACTGGAAGGGAGGGGAAGGGAAAGGGCAGGGCGTGCTCAGGGAGGGGCAGAACAGGGCAGGAAGAGGCAGGGTAGGGGTGGAGCCTTAGGGGAAGGGGTGGTGTGGCGGCACGGTCTGGAGCAAAGCGGGAGTCGAGAATCCCGGGGAAATGAGAAAGTCAGCGCCTGTGTCCAGAGCCCCCCGCCCGCTTCCCCCCACGGGGCTTCTGGGGCCGCACCCGCGCTGGGCTGTCAGCCGCCGCCCATCCCAGCGGCGCGGCAGGGACTTCAGGCTGAAGATACCCGGCCCCACCCGCCGAGGTGGGACCGTTACACAGAACGTTGAACAGCCCCCCTCCCGGGAGAGCCTTACCGCCAACGGCGACTCCCGGGACTGGGGAAGGGGCAATGGCAGCGCGAGCGCCTCACCTGCCACCGCCCTTCTCACGCGCGTGGTATTCCGCACCACCACGACGACCGACTTTCCCACTCTTCGGCGCGTGGCACTGTCTGACGCCCCAGCGCCACCAATCAGCAGCCGTCCGAGTAGGCACCTGACAAAATTGACGGGCTCCAGCAACCAATCAGAACGTGTCGAGAGTCGAGTAGGGCGGGGAAAGCTTTTAAAAACCTTGGAGGTTGAGGGAGGGTGTGCGACCAATTAAAAGGAGGGTATGAAGGAACCAATGAGAGAGGTGCTACCATGTGAGTGCGGCGTTGAAGGAGAAGGGAGGGGGTGTGAAGTGGGCTTGGGAGGGCTTCTTACCCTGATGCTGACAAAATTCATAGCAATGTCGGAGCTCCTCTCTCCCATGTGAATCCCAGCCTGCTAGGGTACAGCGTGTTCATACATAGGGCTGTAAATCCACTGTTACCTCTGCTCCTGCAAATACAGCCAAACTGAGGGAAAACCTGCGCAATTCGCGATTTTTGCTCAGCTTAGTGTGACTTCAGTTTTACTAACGTATTGCAAAAAAGTGGGGGGGGGGGGGCACGATGGAGTGTCTGAGAAATGTTGAGCTTTTCTGAAAGTCACACCATTGCCGAGTGAAAATGTAAAGTTGCAATCAGACTAACATATGTTTTCACGTGCTGTGATTTGAAAGTCCAATCTTAAACAGTTCTGCAAAAAGGTAGCACATATAGCAGGTGCAAAGTTACCTGAAACAAAATTGCAGAAACATTCACCAAAAAAATCAGTTTTATACAACCCCATTGGTACCAGTTAATAATCACCACAATTACAAAATAGATACATAGCAAGAGAGAGAAATTTAAAATTATTTTATCTCTCCATTAAATTAAATTAAATAATGGAGCTAGGCATCTCTTAAATGCCACAGCAATGTTGTGGCAATTGGAGGCCACGTATTTTTTACACAATACTCAGAACCCCAACAAAATTTCTCAGGGGTCAGAGCATAGCTGCAGAACCATACCCATGTCATATACATTTGATGGGCATCCATCAGCTGCACCAGAAGTCTGTAAAGTTTGTTGGTTGTGGGCATTTTAATTTGCTGTTATCAAAGTATTGTGTACTTATTCCACCCGGACTGCACAGCAATGACGTCATTAAAGAAAAAGCATACAACTTTTAACTCATTAAAGAAGTTCCCCAACTTTAATATTTAAATGCTTAATTTCATATTCCAGTGAATCAGAGAAATTATAACTCTAGTCACTATAGTAACATGCTTCAGTACTTTTAGTCTAATTTTAAATGGGTGCCAATTTCTAAGTAATTTCTAATATGTCATGGTAGACAATTCAGCTAATCAGTTTATTAATTTCTTTTCAAAAGAGATGGTTTGTTCCATTATTGTTATTTATAGAATAATGCTTTAATGATATGTTTGACATTTAATACTTTTAACAGTAAAAGCTTAATAGTGTACCCAGTGATATCACTTTTCATGGAGGGGCACCACATTTTTCAGTGTAGGTGCCTACAATCATTTTCACCTCATCCAAATGAGTCATGACATCTCTAACATGAGGGAATTGAGTGTATGTAATGTTAACAAGCCAGT